TAAGGGTTAAATATGTTTTTAGTCCCTGAACTATCAAGCGTTTTTGGTTTTAGTCCCTACTCAGAACTTTGATGGTTTTTAGTCCTTATTGTTTTGAAACTGTTATAAATTGTCCCTAATTTTAAACGGCGTTAATTTTTATTTAACGTGGCTAACGTCTAATGCCAAGTGTGATTTTATTCTCTCCACGTTTTCTTTTTTTTTATTCTAAATTTGCAATGAAGTCCCTAATTTCTACGATGTTTACACTTTAGCATTAACACTGCAATTAGGGTTCAGAAGAGGCAGCCATCTAACAGTACAGAAACACATAAGGGGAAACGCAGATAGCTGTCGAACCTCCAACGCAAGGTCGCCGCCACCTAGCCTCCATCGTCTTGAGTTTCGCTTGAAGTTCATTGATGTAAGCAATAGCATCTCCCAATAGAGATGCTTTGTCCATCTTTGAGATATTTGGAACAACCGCACGCAGGGCATAGAACCACTGGTTTAGCTTCTCCCTCCTTTGCCTCTCTGCCTCCACATGGTTGAGGGGCTCCTCCCTTCCATTGGCCGGCTTCCTTCCCCGTTTCCTCGGCCTCCTGTCATCGGCAACATTCGTTCTCTCCTCCTTGCACGATGCCTCAACATCAGAAATCTCAGATTCCGCAATGATTGATCTCCCTGAAGCCCTTGAAGTTGCTCCTGAGAAATCAATTTGCATCTGAGCCTTCCGTTGCTGTTGCTGGTGCTGATAATTGTTATGCACAAAATCATGCCTCGTGCCATTGGCCAGCTCCGGCACCGACAATGCACCGGAGGTGGACAACCTAGGAGCATGAATTTCAGGAGGACCAAGCTGTCTCACAACTTGACCGGCCCCCCAACCAGAACCATGGATACCATTTGGAAAACCAACACTATTCCCATTGGGATGAGCTCCCCACGCCCTCGGCCTCTCTTCCATTTTCCTCACAGCAAGTTTCTCTCTGAATTGAGTCACACTGTTCAAATCTTGCCCAAAAATCTTTGGAACTCCGTTTCCTTCTACTCTATTATTACTACCATTGCTGCTGTTATTCTTTTCCTTATCCCCAATTGCCACACCAGAAAAAGGGGCATTTGCATTATCATCTCTCTTCTCACTCACCAAATCAAATGGTGTAATTGGCTTAATCCTGGGAGGGACCAACGATGCCTGTGCAGAAAACACAGACTTCAAAGCCTGCAAAAGCTCAAAACTCTCACCCACCATCCTCACAGACCCCATCTCCACCACCCCCATATCAGTAGGCACTAAAACAACAGTCTGAATTCCAGCAGATTTGGCCAAAAAAGACCTCACACAGTAATCAAAACTAGATTTGAACACATCCGAAAGCCACAAATGCTTCCCAGAAGCAAAACACTTACCTGGACCCCCTAGTCCACGGGGAAAAGAGAAGTACATGGAAGCAAGAAAGAACATCTCCGTGTCAGTAACACGGTCCAACCCAAAAGCATAATTGTCCTCGTCAGAACCCCCAAAAGTCATGTGCAGCTTCTGCAACACCCTCTTCCTCATCCTCTGCACCTTCTCGTCGTCAGCAACAACCCCTCTCCCTCTCACTTCTCCGCTCTCTTCTCCCTCCCGCGGTTCCCTGCAACAACCATCTCCCCACCCCAAAACCCAATCCCCAAACTTGGACTGCGAAATTTGCCAGAAGATCGCGTAGTTCCAACTGAAGTTCGACGCGTTAGTACGCTCCACGAGATCCGAAAGCTTGTTCTGCAGATTCTCGCCGCTCCCAAACGCCATTAACAGATTCTCGTTAGAAACCGAATTCGCCACCAAGTAATCAAACGCGCCGCGACCCAGAACCTCCACCACCGTCGCTTTCTCTTCCTCATTCCACACCCCTCCCAACCCCACCTCAATCTTCATCCCAAAACCCAACAAAATCTCAACTTTCTCAAAGCCCAAATCCAGAAACCTCAGATCTCGCAGAATTTCAACCTGGGGTTCCCGAAAATCAAAAAAACCTAAAAACTGTCCAAAGGAGTAACAACTCAACAAGAGACAACATTATGAGCACACCCAGTGTTCAAGTTATCAAATGGGTGTCTATGTCTCTAAGGAAAAAAAACACGTCCACCAGATAATAAAAAAAAGGAAGATAAAAGGGATTTTTCAGTTTTCTCAGTGAACCTATTCTTAAAATGAACAAAGAAAAAAAAACAGGTTTCAGAGTTTGGGAGAAAGAGAGAAGTGTGTGAATGAACAAACAGGCTTATGTTCTCTAACTCCGAACTCACTCTTTCTTTCTTCCTAAGTTGTAACTGCAAAGTGCGAAACAAATCAACCAGGGTTAAAGTTTAACCAGGGTTACTTGGTTGGAAGTTGAGAGGTAGTGGTTTTGGTTGTTTGCTCCTATCTATCTACTAGTCTTGTACTGAAGCCTGCAATACACTAAAATAAAAATATTAAATAAACTCATTGTAATTAATGTTTTGATATAAATAAAATACGTGTATTTAAATTAGCATGTGTGGTAATAAATGAGAGAAACCATTATGAAAAACAAAACAGTGGTACTTATATAACTTAGTGTGTAAGTAGATAAGGACAAGTTAATCTTGGAGTTTAAGGTAGTATATGAAATTCGTGATA